TCCGGGGGGGTGTAACGTGTTGTGGTGCTGTGGCAGTGTCGGGATAGTGGATGTATCAACAGAAGGTGTTGACACGGAGTTAACCCTTTCGGTCTCCTGCCTTTCAGAATTTTCTTTTACAACCGAGACCAGCCAGAAGGCACATTTTTGAAATTCAGATGAGGAAGCCGTTAATATTTTATTTGGGGGAAATGCGTTTTTCGCGTGCCCCTATGTGCATGTACGTAAGTAGAGCTTGTGTGTATAGCTCTCCGTGAAGTGTAACGTTACGTTTTAAAATTACTTATCTCTGCATATTTTGTGATAGTTTTTTGACGTGGCGTAGTATAACGATTTAAAATGAGCTGCTTGTAAGTTTGTGTCAGCCCTTTTATGAAAAGTGCCGGTTTATACCTGTAAAACTGAGCAGATGCATACAATAGCACATCTCCTGTCTCACTGTCTGTACAAATCCACGCTGGAAAAGGTTTGTTGCTCCCAGGGCAACAGCTGCATTTGGGAAAACACAACATGCTAAAAAAAAAATAAATCTTCATTTAGGATTTTAATGTAGTCATTCTTGCTTAAAACCGCCACGTAAGGCATGGAAGATAGTGCACATTATTTTACTAGACAGATGTGAAAAATAATGCAACTTTTATTCTTTTGTACTCATCTCCTGTATGTAATCTTCAAAGAGTGATCACAGTTGGAGAAAGAAGAACGGTAGTGATTCAAAGTACCATTTTTTTTTTTTTCTTTTGGGCCTAAAATAAATTGATTTTTAAAATTTTGAAGTATTCAGCTCCTTTACGGTATTTTCTTCAGAGAAGTTCCCAGTAAAGAAGGTAATAATCAGATACTTCTGGTACGTGAGCTGTAGTACTCTGTGGAGCACTAAATGGCAATTAGAGACTTGATGCAGAAACCATCTTCAAATTTTACTTTTTTTGTAGTCTGGCATTTGTTGTTGAATTTCATTTTCAAAGGATGCTTTGTTCAGCTTTGTCTTAATTTAAGTATAGAGATTTATTTTAAAGATTAAATATTGGAACAATGGGAAGCAATTGCAGCTTATATAATTTTCTTGAAAGTCAACTTTAAAGTATTTAATACAGCTATTCAAGTATCCTCTTACCATTTGTTTTATACTAGTTAGTTGTAATTTCTTTCTGTAACATGGATTGTTACAAACCTTGTAAAAAATGCTTATTATCTTTATGTATAATTCACTCTCACGAACAAATTGGATTTTTCTTCCATGAGTGAACTATAATATGAAATTTAATGTTCTGACCTTTCTTATGCTAGATTACAGAAAAATAGTGTGATTTAGCATTTCTGAAAGCCCAAGCATATTTTTGTTGTTGATTTAATGTGTTGTTTTATATTGTAGCTTTTAATTGCAAAAAAAATAACATTAGACATGTAATTTTCACACTACTTCTTAATTTATGCAGACACTAAAGTTCTTGCTGTGTAAAAGAAAAACTTATTTTTCTTTTCCTGGGAGCTTTGATGGCTAGCAGTCTTGTTAATGATAGTCATTTCTCTAACAGGAAGATGTTTTCATTTGTATTTACTTTTCAGTGCAGGGCAATTATACTGCTCTGTGTTGCACACTCTTCGTAGTTTCTGTCTGAAAAGAATTACAGTACTTGGAACAGGACTGCAATTTGAAGCAGGTGTTGTGTTTTACTGTTATGCAAAATAACACTAAAATATAATTGTAAGGGAAATGAAGGAAACAGCTGCAAACTTGATATGGTAACCACTACATTATGATTCGTGAGCAGTTGTTGCACACGTCTTGCATCATGTCTAACACAGCAAAGATTTGGTTTAGTAAAGCTCACCTTGCTGATTTTGACTCCTTGAGAGTATTGCGCTTATTCTTACAAGAGGCGGTTAGTACAAAGGCCAGACCATAACCGTAGTTACAGAGATGTACTGTCTCACTAGTGACTCAGGTTTTAAATGGGAGCTCAGTGGTTTAGTTTCATCTTTTTTCTTTTTTTTTTTCCCTCAAATGCTAAAGAAGATGAAGGATAGAACCCAATTACTGGAATGAAGGTTGCAGAATGTCTTAACCCAACTAACATATGGAAGCCTACATAGGCCTGAGGTTGTAAAATAGTAAAATAAATGGCCTATAGCAGGCCATCTGCCATTTGCAGGGCATTTTTATTGTGCTTCATGCCAAACTGGAAATTAGTCTTTGTATTAAAAATATATTTTGAATACAAATCAAAGATTCCAAACGTTTAACGTTGCACATGGCAAACACATTTCTATCTGGGAGCTAAGAGAAGTCCAGGAAAATCGTACTGGAAAAATACTGCTTAGTTCGATGCTCAGGACTCAAGTCATTCTCTTCTCTTTCCTGTCTCTTTTGTCTTCCCTGTAAGCCCTGATTTAAGTTTGTAAATTACACACCAGATATGAAAAATCCACTATTGTGTGTGGCAACTAAAGGGGAGGGGGGGATCAACTGATGCAAAGTGTCGTGATTCCATGTAAGTCCTTGCAGCTAGGGTAGCGTACCCCAGATGAGGATCTGCCTCATAAACAGGGCTTTGAAAGAGTTGCTCATCTTGAAAGTATTCTTCGAACATCAGCTGATCAATTTTCACAAAGTCTGTCTGAAAGGAAGGCAGCTAAGGTATCCTCAGTTTACTGATCGAAGAAATTGAAGCTCAGATTGTGTGCGGGGAGCTCGGCAGAGATCAGGTTTGGGAAGTTTCTGGCTATTGGGCTTATGCTTGTATTATAGAATGCTTCCAGTCTTAATGCAAAATATGTTTAAAAGCGCTTTGAAGAAGTGAAAGATAGGGACGCATAGAGAGGAAAGAGCATATTTCTTTCATCTTGTGCAGAAATATTTATGCATAAAATCACACTTAAATCTCTCAGATAAATCATTACTGTCTGGTGATGAATCCAGACCAGTTTCATTGCTAGTGCACTGTAACATGGATATTTTGTTGACATTGTCTAGATACTAGCCTTTCTCTGGACAGATAAATACTTTGATTCAAAGGTATTTGGGTGTACCTTTTGCTGTGCAATTGTAAAATTTGCTGCTTTGCATCAGCTGCTCATAAGTCTCTCTGATATAACTTACGTTGTAAAGCTGAAACAGGGTATTGAAAACAAGCGTGCGTATTTGTGGAAAGGCGTTTGTCCTTTAGGAAACTGGGTCCACTTGTTTATTTTCATGGTTGCAATTAGCACAAGATGTTATTTAAAATAAAGACTAGTAAATGTGAAGTATTTAACCGGTGCTTTCAACACAGTTGGGTGTGTTGGTGTCCCCACCTCCCCCTGAAGACAAGGCCTGCCTTTAAGCATTCATCCTTTGGATGTATTTAATGATGATGGAGTTAAATGATGAGGTAATTAAAAATGTGAATAGTAGCACTTAGAGAGTTGGGTGATGGGTACATCAAAAATACAGAAAAAGACCTTTGAATGGCAGTCAGGAGAGGATAGAGTAGTACGTCTGTGTGTGTTTAGGTCTCCTCTGAGTTTATAGCAGTGTGTGCTGCCTTTCTCTCCTGGCAGGGGTCTGCGGAGTTGATGAGGAGCTGCTGGGAGTCGGGAGCCGCCTGGAACACGATGCCCTGCCCCGCTCCTGCCCTTGGGAAGTTGTGAGCTGCTCATGTCCATAAGGAGGAAGGATGGCTCATGGAATTCCTTCACAAGGCAAAGTTACCATAACGGTGGATGAATACAGCTCCAACCCAACGCAGGCGTTTACACACTACAACATCAATCAGAGCAGGTTCCAGCCTCCGCATGTGCACATGTGAGTATTCCTGCCATTGCCTTTGTGTGTGTCTGCGTGCGTGCCTGTGCGAAACACGACTGCTGCCGAAGGACTGCGTTGGAAACTGGAAAAATTGGTTAGTCACATTAGCTAATAGGCAAAATGGTTATCAGGTTTCTTACATGGTGTGTTTGAGAAACACTGCTCCATCATCTCCCGGAGATAACTCTTTCTGCCCGAGGCGCGGTGCCACCGACTTCGTGCAGCTTGCCCCAGCGATGACTAATAGGGTACATTTTCTAAAACTTGTCACTTCGCTGATCTCCCTGTAACTCGCCTGAGGGACCCGTCGCTGTAAAATTTAAGCTCCCTTCCCCCAGCCCTTACACTCGGCCGCGAAATAGGCCTAATTGGGACTAATTGTGCCCCCTGCTCACTGAATCCTTTGTCCTCCTGGTTGCGAGTGGAACGTGTGCCGCATGCTGCATTCCACTCGCAACCCGCAGCACAAAGGGCTCGGGGGCTGCCCAGTGGTTCCTCCCCAAAAATACCAGTACCGCTTTGAAACGACGTCCCTGGCCCGAGCTGAAACCGAGAAAGGGATGGGACGGGGGGAGCTGAAGGCTTCTTACCTCGCCTCCTCATCCCGGGGTATCGCATGGCCCGCAGGAGCATTCTGCTGCACCGTACCTGGGCGCAGTGGTTTGTGTTGAGAGCTAAGTACCAGTTTTAACTCTGAATTGCCTTCCCATTGTTTCGTTAGGATTGATCTTTATCGGTTATTTCTCTGAAGGTTCTTTTTCTTTTAACATTAATAGACTGAAAAGCACGTGAAACTAAAACAAAGACGGCATCTCTTGACCTCCTGCGTGCCATTGTTAGTCAGGATTTTGAACGATGTCGCGCTATTGAATTTGATAAGGATTTTGCATAATAAGGGGGGAAAAGTTGTATGGTACTTCATTGCATTTTTGTTATGTAGAAGCCTGCCGGAAGAGTCACAATGTAGGAGTTCAGCACCTTCTAATAGGATTTCCTAAAGGCGGCTTTAGGAAGGATGCTGAAGAGTGTCTGTCGTGCGTGTGACTTTTCAAGGTGGAAAAAGTTTTAATTGATTACATTTGATTTATTACTACAACGATGAAGTAACTCTTCTCTTAGAAATACTTACATTTCTTGATTCACTTTTCAGACTTTTTGTCAGCAAATTTCTGTTGCGTGTTTTGCCCTGCAGACTGCTTTTCAGACTAAGTACAAATTCTATGTGGAGAATAAATTCAGAACAAACGAAAGAAATGTAGAAAGTAGTTTTAAAGAACCCCTTCTTATTGACATTGATTTCAGTGGGAGCTGATTTTAGGACCAACAAAGTGTGGTCTTCAACATTGTAAAAATTACTTATGCTTTGTTTCAAAAACTCTCAAACATTTATACAGCTACTTCTCTAATAATTTGTGTCTCTCTTAAGTGATACTGACTTGACAGATGGCTTAGAAGATACTTTACTTGTTTGGAGAAATTGTGTAATTTAAATAAATACTGAAACTATAAAGTACAGTATAGTGGCAGTATTTTAGAGGATTTTTAACTGAAATACTCGTAGCTTTCTTAAAATCAGTGATTTGGTTTCAAGGAAGGGTGTGGCATACTAAAAGGGAGGTAAAAATTTAGAAAAATGGGAAAGGGATTAGTCTCAGATTTACAATGGAAGCAAAGGAAGCAATGTTACAGTGCAGAAGGTGAGTTCAGGAGAGCAAATGATGGGTTTTAGAAAACCTGTTGAGGAGAAAATGACTGGATCCTACCAGGTGTCTGGAGTTGTGGGTAGAGGAAAGCGAGGAGGTGAAGATAGGACTGTGGCTGTGGGTTTGTGTGATGGCTGGAACAGCAGAGGTGTTTCTGGGGGGGAGAGACTAGATTGTGGTAGCTTCGGGAGGGGTCCTTACTTGTCTTCCCAGTGTTTTGTAATGGAAGCGTTGTGCATATTTCTGAAAGAGGATTTCATCAAGTGAGAAACCTGAACAGCAAATCGGTAAAAGCAGTATTAACAGAGAAACCATGTTCTTTTTACCCTGTTGTGCCTTCGTTAGTGCCACATTGCTGCAGCTGCCAGGACTGTTTGATCTGATGGGGTTTTACAGTCTGCTTTTCTCTTTTGCTATCTTAAAGTAATGCATGCAATTATTTTTTTTCTAAGAGGAGGTTTTATTCTTCTCTAGTGAAAAATTTGTTTAAGAAGTCATGGGATTCTGAGAAATGAGTAAAGCAACATGGGAACTGAGCATTATGACATGTATGTGAATAGTAGGGCCCTGCTGCGTACCATAAATCAGTAGCTGGGTGCAGCTTAAGGACAATGTTCTTTTCTAAAGGAAATAATTTTTTAAAAAGTAATTTCTTTATGGATACACATCTTCATGTGTAAAGGTGAGAACTGGATTCTTGGCGTATGCTGAGCCATTTCTGGTTCTAGTATCCTTTAGGCCCAACTCTCATCTCACGCAGAGTAACCACCAGCGTAAACCTGGTGGTTAAGGCACGACTGGCTTTACTCTGCCTGTTCCGCGGGACACGTGTCCTGCGCTTTTTCTCCTGCTTTCATTTGGTGCCTTTCACGTGACAGTGTCATGTAGTTCTATCAGCAGGGATACAGTTCTCTTATTATCATCTTTATATGTATTTTTACACCAGCACTTCTTAGTGATTCTGTTTAAGTGTACTCTCAGGTAAATAACAGTGTATTAAACCTCCCTTTGCTTGGGCTGGCTGTGACAGCAGTTCTGACAGTTACTTAAGCTCTGTTATAGTAAGACTTTGCAATCAGTTTGTCCAGTCTTAGTATTTTGTTTCTCTACTAATTAATGTTTGAACAGGTGTTCTAAAGACAGTTTTTACTGTACAATTATTTTGGATAAAGGGATATCATGTTAAATGTTCTGTCATCTTGAAGCAACGCTCCCGCCCACAGGTTTCACTTATTTTCTGAAGATGGTGTAAAATGTTTGTATTTGAACGCTTTGTACAAGTCATGTTTGCTTTCAGTTAGTTTTAATTAACTGCATCACCTTAGTTTCCTGCTTTAAAGGGCAGCTGCAAAATAGTAATTATAATATGCCTCCCTTTGCTTCTTGATGATTGTTATTCTCCTGGAAGTCTTTGTCCTTTCCCTTTTTTATTTTTTGGTCAGGAATTGTGACTTGAAGAGGCAAATGCTTCTTGCTCCTTTGGTGTAGTGGTGCCAAGTATTACAAGTTTTTTTTAAAAAAAAAAGAAAAAAAGCTTTCAAGCCTGTTTAGACCCTTGAGATGTTCTGTATGAGGCCATGGCCAGTGGTGCCAACAGTACTGGTGAGCAGCAGTAGGATGCGGCCTGGGGACAGGGTGGGCGCAGCCGGAGGAGCTGGCAGCCCTGGGCAGGTGTGCTTTAAGCTGCAGGAGGCCTCGTCCCGTGAAACTGCAGCATCAAAGTAGAGAGGATAGAGGAAATTTCTGCTACTGGAAGCAAACAGTAGGAAAAAAGTAAAAATGACTAAACTTAGAAGATAATTGAATTAGTCAGGTATATGTGCCGTTTGCTTAGAGTGTTCTCTCTTTTTTTGTAAGACTCCCCCCGCCCCCCCTTTAACTCAGCAGCTTTACAGTGACCACCACAGTGGGCCTTTAAACCATTTTAATAACAGGAATTACTAAGGCTCAGTTTTGTGTAAGCTTCCTGTCTCGCCTGTTTTTTTTTTTTCCCTCAGACCAGCGGAAAGGAGCTGAGAAGAAAATGGGACAAATCCAAGTGGAAAATTATTTACTTAGGTTTTAACCAGAAGGAAAAATCTTCCTGTTTGGGTACAACACCCCATTTACTTTCAGGGGGCAGGAGGCAGGCAGAGAAGGGAGACTGAAATAAACTTTATGTATCTGTCGTAGAAAATGCCTGTTTCGACAGACCTAGCTGGTGAGGATGAGGGAGTTTTGTGGAGATAAAATAGCTGTAGCCCAAACTACTGCAGACTGAGCCTTTTAGAGGAGTTCATTAGCTTTCCTTCCATCTCACCAGAATGGCTTGGTGGCTTTTTTCTAGGATACTTGGAGTACACGTTAAAACGCTGCTACGGTTTAAGTTCAGTAGTAGGGGTGTAAGGATAGAGGTTTCTGTGCCAGAGCAAAAGTCTTCTAAATGAGTTTATTCATACCTGGAGAACACTGAACAATCTGTAACTATATGATTTTACTGCCTTTTCTATACTGGAGTAATTCCCCATGTGAATATTCTTATTTTAAAACAAAGAGTATAAACAGAGTTTTATGTTAGTAGAAATATGTATAGATGAATAAAATATTTAAATGTATGAGTGTATGTAAATGTGTATATGTAATAATAATAGTAATAAAAAAATACAGCTATATAATCATAGAAGAAAGAACTTTCAACTGTAACAAAGCCTTAAATTGTTAAAACCCGGAGATCTTATTAGACTACTAACCTTGAGAAATCGGATCTGGCATATTTTTTTTTCTTGGGGCAACCATCCTGCGTTAATGGGCTTTGTAAACTCCCACTGAGATTAGTCGGAAATCATGCATTTGATTTGTAATATTCTCAACTTCTGTTTCATATAAGGTGTCTTATATTTAGGGAGAAGGGGAAAGAG